GATATATATATATATATCGTCAAATAGAACTGCCTACGGTAAACCGTAGGCAGAGAGGGAGAAGAGGACAACAAACGAGGGGCTGTGACAAACTGTTTCGTCGGAGTTTCACCAACTCATCAGGAGGCTATATATATATATATATACTTTTTGGATTATGTTTAGCCCAGAAAAAAAATCATCGCGGACCCCGTTTATACCCGTCCAATGGGCGTTTCAACAGGGATTCGACGCGGATTGAATGCGCGTTGAATCTTTCAACGCGGATCCCCCGTTGAATCCATTTCCGGACACACAGTGCATTGACTATAGGGGCCTCTATGCCATCATCTTCAAAAACACAAGCCCCCACCACGCATTGACGACCTCTTGGATAGAGTGACACAGATGTAAGATTCGCTAGCGAACTGTGGCAAAGTACAGCCCAACAGATGGGCACCTGACTGCAAGTAACATCAGGGAACCACTCCAAGTCAAATGGGCAGGCCGAGCAGATGAACCAGGTAGTGCTTCGGCATTATTATATTAAGCCAAATCAAGATGACTGGGATGAGAAGTGACCTCTCATCGCCAGCCTGTACAACAATGCTGTGCACAGCACTACAGGTAAGACCCCCAACCAGCTGCATCTTGGTTGGAAGCCCGGATCTGCTCTCGACTTCCTGTTGCCTGAAAACCTGCCAACCGCAGCACCTGGTTGCAGTGTAGAGTTTGTTGTCAAGTACGAACAGATGCTGCAGCAGGCTATAGAGCACATCAAGAAAGCTCAAGATGCCATGGTTGCAGTGTAGAGTTTGTTGTCAAGTACGAACAGATGCTGCAGCAGGCTATAGAGCACATCACGAAAGCTCAAGATGCCATGGTTGCAGCATAGAGTTTGTTGGCCAGTACGCACAGATGCTGCAGCAGGCTGTAGAGCACATCGAGAAAGCTCAAGATGCCATAGTTGCATCTGAGAACAGACACAAACGACTGTCTGCATTTCAGGTAGGTGAACGAGTCTGGGTAAAGACATCTGAGTTGGGACAGGAGTTGGGAATCTCACACAAACTGATGCCACAGTACTTTGGACCTTGGAAAATTCTGGACATAGTAGGGGATCAACCCGATGGTCCATCATATGTTATTCACATTCCTGGTCACCTCCGTACACACCCTGTTTTCCATGCATCTAAGTAGGCACCCTTATCTGAAACTGAACAGTTTCCCTCTAGACGATCTATGCTGCCCCCAACCATGGACGGACATGCCGACATTGACAACATCATCGAGCACAAGCTGATGCCTGTGCCCAAGCCTCCAGGCAGGGGACACCCTCCAAAACCGCAGATGCAGTATCGGTTGCTGTTCAGACACCATACTGATCCTAAAGAAGATCGATGGTTCACAAGAGAAGAGGTCTCTGCCTTTCAACAGTGTATGGCTGCACCAACTGAGCGAATAAGCCCCATTGGTGGGTGCCTCGATTTTCGAGCAGGACAACTAATCAATCCTATAGGAGGACGTTACCCGGGCCTATAATAAGCATAAGGGATCGTTGACTTGAGAACGACATTCTGGTGCCAAGGGAGTGTCGGCTTTCGGAGTTTGACTGCTCACTCAAGGAAAGAGTATGGTGGGTATAGTTGCAAAAAATTATGAATTGGTGGGGGTAAAAGAAAAAGAATGTTGCTCCATGGACAGCAATAGCAGCAATAGCAGCAATAGCAGCAATTGAAGCAACAGCAGCAATGGCACCAACACAAGCAGAAGTAATTGTAGTAGCAGCAACAAAAGCAACAGCAAAAGCACCAATTGGCAGCAAGGCTGCAATAGCAGCAACAGAAGCAACAGCAGCAATAACATCAACACAAGCAAAGATAATTGTAGTCGCAGCAACAACAGCAACAGCAATAGCAGCAATAAAAGAAACAGCAGAAATAGCACCAACTGGCAGCAATAACTGCAATAGCACCAGTCACACCAATCGGCACCAATAACAGCAATAGCAGCATCACACCAATTGGCAGCAATAGCAGCAGTAGCAGCAATGATTGTAGCAGCAGCAACAACCATAACAGCGAGTCATTGCAACAGTATCAGGTGCAATATCGGGGGCTGCGGCAGCAAGCAATTGCACCGGCAGCAGGGGCATTCGCTGGGGCATTACTATCGTCTTCACCCAAGCAGAACGCTCGGTCATTACCACTATATCTAGACGAGAAGCTGCCCGGAATACAGCTATAATCCCCCTGAGTTTTATTAGCATGAAGATGGCAGAGATATAATTATTGCTTTGTTAGGGTGAAGACGGTTGAGAATAACTGCAACATGACAGCAGAGTAACATCGCCGTTGTGGGGTCCTCCATCAGGGCACCCTTTAATTGTTTTGGAATGATACAAAGACGATTACCCTGACCTCTGCATAAGGAGATGAACAAGAAAAAAGATAAACACATCCCGGTTGCTGTCATCCATCAGCGAACAAGCAGGGTGGGCTAGCACAGCACGAGAACAGGGAACAAAAAGTCCTTGTTTCCACACTCGGACCAATCTGCAACAGAGTTTGTTTGTTTTTTTTTCCCATCCTCGGAAGTTATATGAGTAACTGATCTCTTTCAAGAAGGTAAAACATGCACATTCACGCACAAGCCGGTTACAAACAGATGAAACAGTGGAGCGGGCAGCACTTGCCACAAACTTCTCAAAAATGATACAAAAGACGGACCCAACAGCTGGGACAATCCCTTGCCCCTCCACACACACACTCATTGTACACTTTGCGCTACCCTTGGAGTGAAGGGGAACCGGACAATTCCTTGCCCCTCCACACACACACTCATCGTACACTTTGCGCTACCCTTGAGAGTGAAGGGGAACCTGCCAATCACTCAAGTGTCCTTGGAACACGTCCACTACACTAGAAAAGGAGAAAAGGAGAAAAGGAAAAAGGGAAAAGGACAAAGAGAGAAAGAAAGGAAACATAGAGGATAAGGAATGATACAAGTGCCTTGTCGCTCACTTGAGTTATACTACCAGTTCCTACCTCCTCGTCTACCACCACGATACCCCCCTCCTCTGCCTCCTCCCCTTCCGCCTCGCCATCTTCCTCCTCCACCACCCCTCCCTCCACCCCTTCCCTTTGGCCCCAACACCTCTGCCAACAGCTCCTTAGGCAGGCCCATCAACTTATCGACACACTTCCTATAGCTGAAGTCCTCGAAACTGTTGTCTTTTCGCAATATGTAGTAGCATCTCGTATCAAATTTCGGATGAAATCGGACCTGAAAGCTCTTGATCCCGCAGCCAACTTTCCTCGCAGGCTCCGCATGACCTTTCATCAGCAGGTCACTAAGAACCATGAACTCGTACTTATTCACATCATGGTTAACAGACCATCCATGGAGAAAGTCAAAGAAGTAATCATACATCTCCGTGGAAGATCGAAAGACCTTCGGGCCCAGTTTCACCTCATTACTCACCTCCCCCTCCGTCTTCTGCTTCTTCTTCTCAGGCTCTACACGTCCACTATCCTCCACCGCTTCACCGCCTCTCTTTCCCTCCTCCTCCTTCTTCGCCGCCGGTTCTCCCTCATCCTTCTCTTCTGGAGCCTCCTCCATCTCCTCGTTCTGAACGCCCCCCTCCGCGCCGACCTCCTTGCTATTTACATCTTCCTCCTTTACTTCTTCATGAACCACGGCCTTCACTTCGTCCGCTACAACCTCCGTTACCACCTCCCTTACAACCTCCTTAACCACCTCCACCTCCTTAACCACCTCCACCTCATCGCCGCCGCTCTCCTTGTCGCCTTCGCTTTCCATCGGTTGCACAGCGCTAGGGGCTTCTGCAGCTGGCAAGGGATCCTGGACACCATCTCCTTCCTTCGCTTCTTTCTGACCATCCTTGGCAGCATCATCCCCATTGTCCTGAACAGTCACGGCTTCGTCACCACCACCACCACCACCTAAGGCATCCGCGTTGACGTCTGTGTTTTCTGCAGAAGTGCTAGTTCCTTCGGTTTTCCCTTCCCCGGCATCCGCCTCTGTGCTAACTGGTGCGATCTCCTTGTTCTCTGTAGCCTGACAAGCTTCTCCTGCTGCAGGCTCAGCAGCATCGTTCTTTGGTGCCTCTGCCGATGGCTCTTCCGCTTTGCTTGCAAGGGTAGCAGATTTCTCGGCAGTCGTCACTGCATCTGCATTTGTTTCTGCGATCGAATTTGGCACACCATCTGCCGTTGGCGCCGCCGCTTCTGCCATGACAATAGTCAAGGACGTCTGTCGGCAAGCACAACGGTTGCCTGTTGCTCGACAAGTAACCGCTCACAGCCTGTGATGCACACGAACACAGCCAGACCGACACTTCTGTCAGACGGAACTACAGCAAAGAAGTGCAGAGCAGAGAAGGCACAGCTGGTCGCCACATAAGAAAAGCAGGGTCACTACCTGTGCACACAAAGCCACAGACCTTGCGACAAGTACAGATGCTCCTGGGGTAGAGACTCCCATACTTCAACAGGGCGGAATAATTTCTGCACCTTTCATCATTCCAAGAATCTCAGCTCCGCATTGAGGCCAAGCATGAATCAGATAAATCAAATCAAATCTTGTACTCCATTTATAGAGGAAAAGGGATCCTTCTTTCTTTCCTTAGCTTTTCATTTTCCTTTCCTTAGAAAAGGAAACGGAGGGTAACCTCACACACCAGCGGGCCTAGGTCAATTGGTAAGCCCACAGACCAACGGGCCTATCTCAATTGGTACAACCACGAACTGTCGAAATACAGACCCGAGTTTGAAAACAATCAGGGGAAAAATAAGAAGGGTGACCTCGGATCCACTGTACCCATCGTACAGCAGAAAACCGAGTGTGTTCAAAGGCAGAAAGTTAACTGTGTTCTTGTCCTTCAGGACATCCATTCTAATTGGAACGATACAGAGAAGGGTAAATTAGCAATATGGCGTCTGCAAAAGGATGACACGCATAACTACTACATAGAGAAATAGCACCACTCTACCCAACGCCAAAAAAGTGGCGTTCCAGCGGAGCAGGTCGTTAGGGGGAGGGCCGACTGGGCGACGGGTCCAGTACCACAATTTTCACACGCCAACTTTGGCGATTTTTCACGCTCAGAACCAGGGAAAACTTTTTTTTTTTTTTTTCATCTAGGGAATATATATATATTTTTTCTTTCTATATTCTTCTCTGAACTTCTGTTTCTTTTACCTTCCACTACCTACTCCTAAGGCTATCTAGAGGGGACCCCTGCAAGCATAGTTTCCTCTCTCTGTGAAGGGGAGATTTCATGTTGCCCCTTGCCCCTAATGGTTAGGGTATAGGGTTGGACCATACCGATCATCCATGCGGGGAAAAGTTAAAAAAAAAAAAAAAAAAAAAAATGCTGGAAAGGGAAAAGTAGTGGGTCCACGGAACATTTTTTACGCCCAACCAATCACGACTGGTAAACCACTGACATGGTCCGGAACCAGTGACAGACAGACAGACAGACAGACAGACAGACAGACTGACAAACTGGCAGGCGGACAGAGAGACAGGACGTCAGGAGGCAAACACCCAGGCACATGCCTACCTGCATCTTCCCGCACGCGGGTGCGCGCAGACACACAGACACACACCAGCCTTGTACGCGAGAGGCATACGAAAACGGGAGCTGCCAGAACAAATAAAAGGGGTACCGCAAAGAAAACTAAAGGAAAGAAACTTAAGAAAGGGATACAATGGGCTCTATTATGCTTGCTACAGCGGTAACGCTGTCTTTTTTTTTTTTTTTTTTTTTTTT